GTCATTCAACAGGGACAACCAGTAGAGGTTGACTCCGTTGGCCCGATGGTCGGGGAAGAAGAAGGACCCAATACACCAGAGTATCAGAGCTCGCGCCCTCTTCTCGTACTCTGATGTAGGGAGTCCATCCTCCAGAGGGCGCTTGCACTCCTCTTCCAGACTACTAAAATACAGACACTGGCCATTTATGTCCCAAGTCTTGGAGTCGTAGTCCTGGACCCCGTGATCCTTGAAATACGTTTATATATATATTAAAAGCGACCCATGACTTAAGTATATAAACATAATAATAAAAAACAAATTTAAATAAACAAATAAAAGTTTTAGGTAAAAATATACCTGTACGTATGGGAGGTACCCTAGAGCGTCCAGGCAACGACCTCTCAACTTGGCGGCGCGGAGGAGCCTTGTTGCAGCGGCGGCGGCGGCGAAGAGGATTGCAGCGGCGGCGGCGGCGAGGAGGCTTGCAGCGGCGGTCGGAGCTCGAGGACACCGGAGGAGGAGGCGCAGTGGCGGAGGTCACGGCGGCGGCGAGGAGGAGGTGCGTCGGCGGTCTCGGTCGCGGCGGCGGCAGAGGAGGAGGCGGCGTGGTCTCAGTTGCCGGAGATCGAGGTCGCCGTGAATGGAGTGGTCGGAGCTCGAGGTCGCGGTCGGTGGTCGGTGCGAGATCGGAAAAATGAGGGCGAGGGGCGATGAGGCCGATGAGGACGACGACGATCGATCGAAGGGTTTCTGGAGAAATCCGTTTTTTTTTTTATTAACTGAAAAACGGATTGTCAAAATCCGTTTTTAACGTTGAATGGTCAAACCGGATTTTGAAAATCCGTTTTTGTCCGTTGAATGGTCAAACCGGATTTTGAAAATCCGTTTTTGGCGTTGAATGGTCAAAACGGATTTTCCAAATCCGTTTACATACTACATATAGATAAGATATATATATATTATATACTATATTATATAATATACATATTACCATATATAATAGTATATAATATAGTATATTATATAATATACATATTATATAATATACTATATTATATACTATATTATATAATATACATATTATATAATATACATATTACCATATATAATATACATATGCATAATTCGAGTTCGATTACACTATAATTGACCGAGATTGTACTAATTTGACTTTAATTGTACTAATTCGAGTTCGATTTCACTATAATTGACCGAGATTGTACTAATTTGACTAATTTGACTTTAATTGTACTAATTCGAGTTCGATTACACTATAATTGACCGAGATTGTACTAATTTGACTTTAATTGTACTAATTCGAGTTCGATTACACTATAATTGAACTAATTTGACTAATTTGACTTCAATTGTACTAATTCGAGTCTGATTTCACTATAATTGACCGAAATTGTACTAATTTGACTTTAATTGTACTAATTCGAGTTCGATTACACTATAATTGACCGAGATTGTACTAATTTGACTTTAATTGTACTAATTCGAGTTCGATTTCACTATAATTGAACTAATTTGACTAATTTGACTTCAATTGTACTAATTCGAGTTCGATTTCACTATAATTGACCGAGATTGTACTAATTTGACTTCAATTGTACTAATTCGAGTTTGATTTCACTATAATTGACTGAGATTGTACTAATTTGACTTTAATTGTACTAATTCGAGTTCGATTTCACTATAATTGAACTAATTTGACTAATTTGACTTCAATTGTACTAATTCGAGTTCGATTTCACTATAATTGACCGAGATTGTACTAACTTGACTTTAATTGTACTAATTCGAGTTCGATTACACTATAATTGACTGAGATTGTACTAATTTGACTTTAATTGTACTAATTCAAGTTCGATTTCACTATAATTGAACTAATTTGACTAATTTGACTTCAATTGTACTAATTCGAGTTCGATTTCACTATAATTGACCGAGATTGTACTAATTTGACTTTAATTGTACTAATTCGAGTTCGATTTCACTATAATTGACCGAGATTGTACTAATTTGACTTTAATTGTACTAATTCGAGTTCGATTTCACTATAATTGAACTAATTTGACTAATTTGACTTCAATTGTACTAATTCGAGTTCGATTTCACTATAATTGACCGAGATTGTACTAATTTGACTAATTTGACTTTAATTGTACAAATTCGACTTCGATTACACTATAATTGACCGAGATTGTACTAATTTGACTTTAATTGTACTAATTCGAGTTCGATTTCACTATAATTGTACTAATTTGACTTTAATTGTACTAATTCGAGTTCGATTTCACTATAATTGAACTAATTTGACTGTTTTGACTTCAATTGTACTAATTCGAGTTCGATTTCACTATAATTGTACTAAATACAAAATCATCCAAATACAAAATCATCCAAATACAAAATCATCCCAATACAAAATATTCATCTAAAAAAATCTAGTTCCCCCAATCATCGCGGAGTCTAGTTCGATCGATGGGAGGATGCGAATACGGGCAACGGTCTGCGAAATGTAAGGGATCACCACATCTAGTGCATTGATCCCGGCCCCTTCTGCGGCGCGCCCGACGATCCATTTGCATTTTAAAGCGTCTAGTTTGGGCGCGACCGGGTCCAGGCTTCGAGATGATCCTCTCCCAATGCGGAATCAAATTACATCCCACCCGCGGCCACTTGTCAGGATTCCCAATTGGAGTAAATTTTCAATTAGAAAATTGAGCAACCCAATTCTCCGTCGAAAAGTAGGGATTATACAACGACACCGGTTGATCACCCCGGTGATGACACACTCGAATTGCATGAGAGCATGGTTTTCGATGTGTCTGCCACTTCCTACATGTACAACGCTGCTGCTGATAAAAGACCTTAAACCTATTTTCAACAATGATTTATATATATAAATTAGAAAAAAAATAAACTCATTTGAATGGAAAAAAAAATGTATTGTTTACAAAATACATATTTATTTTGCCCTCTTCCATTGGCGCGTAAACCGGTTGTCACCATGTACTGGGATCCGTCGGCGTCCACACATTGCACCTCGTGAGTCACCGCCGTCTTTTCCAACTCCCGATAGGCGGCATAGAGGTCGGTAGGAATGGAAGTCCTGCATCCTCTGGACTTCTTATGTTCCTGTTCAAACAAATCCATAGTCTTGTTCAATGTGGCCTGTACCAACGCTCTGCAGGGCAGGAACCTAATACCTTTGAGGACATTGTTGTAACTCTCTGACATATTCGTTGTCAGAGTGCCCCATCGACGTCCTCCATCTTTGTACAGGGTCCACTTTTCCAGAGCAATTTTGAAAAGGTAATCGTATGCGTCCGGGTTACATTCATGGAGTTCCTGTCGACTCTGCTCAAATTTGCGGCGAGAACACAGTGAACTCAACCTCCAACACAAACCCCGAACTTGTTTATTCCGGTACCTTGAAAACACGTTGCTCCGGAGGTGTCGAAGGCATATCCGATGAAATGCATGGGGTTCGTGCCAAGTCTCCAGTAATTCAACGGCACTCAATATGCCGTTGTCCCTGTCGGAAAGAAGACATATCGGTCTGTCGGGGACGACATGATGGCGCAGATGTGTTAGGAAAAAGGACCAGCTAGCCGTGCTTTCTTCGTCCACAATCGCATACGCGACTGGCAATAGACGCTTATTCGCGGTCTGTGCTATGGCAACAAGCAGCTTCCCCTTGTACGAACCTGCCCAGTTGGACATATGTTTTTTTTTATGAGACACTATTGTAAATTAAAAAATAAAATATTAATTTACAATTAACAAGTAGTTTCTCCTTGTACGAACCTCGCAGGTGCGTGCCGTCGATGCTAATAATCGGCGGGCAACGAACGAAAGTTTGAATGGCGGGGCCGAATGCCCAGAAGACAAATCTGAATTCTCTGTCTCGAGATTGCTTCGCCATTTCTCCACCCTGCCATTCCCACTCAACGACTGTACCGGGATTCGCCCTTTGAAGGGCGGCGAAAAACCTGCAAATTATAAAAGGTAACCATAAATAAATAAATAAATAAATAAATATAGTTCCAAACAACACGTAAATACGTTTATAATTAATTTTTGCTTACTGGGGGAGTTGTGCGAAGTTCGATTCCCACGTGCCATGCAGACGATCAATGACTTTTTTTCTCCCGTGCCACGCCTTCTTGTAACTGACATCGACTCCCCAGGCACTTTTTACGTCGGTCTGGACCATTTCCGCACTGTAGGTCACCTGCTTCTGAATCTTAACCAACAGAAGATTTAAGATCATGGTGAAGGTCACATTCTTGTGGTCATTTATCTCGAACACCTGCATGCAAGTGGTGGCTATCGGTCCATTCGGTTACCTCCCACATGCCGTGATCCCGTTTGTTAAGACTCACCCGGGCCTTCCATATACATGGTACAACTTCATCTGATCTGCACACAACTTTAAACGACTTCTTGTTGGAATCTTTTGTCCGGACCGCCCTAAGCTTCTCAACTTTCCAGGCATTAATACCAATCCGAGCTTCTTCCTTGGTATGAAAAACTGTACCCAATCGGATAGTCTCGACACGCCCATTCCAGGTTGGCAAGGCATACTCGTCCCTGTCTACACACGACGAGTCCCACTCACCCATCTCGCGATAATCGTAGAGGCCTTCATTTGGAAAGGGGTGTTCTTCAATGAATTCTTGTTCGCTCTCCTTATTAATTGATCTGTCCGATTCGGTTTCCGAGGTCTCATCCGTGAAATCGTCTTCACCGGGAATGAAATCTTCATCTCCAACAATTTCTTCCTCAATGTCCGGTCCTCTCATGGTAAAGCTCGTTCCTTCGCCGAAATTACTCGTCCCTTCGCAGAAATTACTCGTCCCTTCACCAAAATTACCGGCATGCGTAGTCCACGTATCCTCACCACCAAACATTCCCTCGTAACCATATGATGGCGTAGGATCCTCAACCTGTGTAACCTGTGTGTTTGCTTCCAACACTATATGCAAAAGCACATAGGACATAGGAGCAGAGTAGTAAATCCACGAAAGAAAATTATCATTATGCAGTCTTCCGGTAATAAACGAACCATCCTGTTGTCTCGCCATCAAAGTAATATCGGAAATTGTCCAACTATCACGAAACCCACCATTTTCGTAAATCATATCTACCAATTGTTGATATGATATTATTCCATTAATAACAAATGAACAATCCGGACGAGACATATAATTCGAAAAATTCCATAACTCACTCTGGGGAATTTTCCAGTACACATTAACAAAGTATGGACCGTTAGACGACATTTATAACCTGTTGCCCCAAAAAAAATTATATTTTACAAATTACAACAACATAAAAAAAAATCAAACACCACGAGAAAATTTCAATTATTATTTTACCAATCTACATTTAAAAATTCAATTATTTTACCAATCTACATTTAAAAATTTAATTATTTTACCAATCTACATTTAAAATGGCTAATCAAACACCCGAGAAAATTTCAATTATTATTTTACCAATCTACATTTAAAACTCATTTCCAACAACAACATATAATTAATTATATTTTTACTCGAACAAAAAAAAATTGTCAATTAGTTTATAAAAAACACCACAAAAACCCTAATCACCAATCTACATTTAAAATGACTAATCAAACACCCGAGAAAAATTTCAATTATTATTTTACCAATCTACATTTAAAACACATATCCAACAACATCATATAATTAATCATATTTTTAATCCAACAAAAAAAAATTAAAATTGTCAATTAATTTAGTACATTGCCACAACAAAAACCCTAATCACCATAATCCAACAATAACATCAAATTCATAAACAATTTGGATAAATATTCAATTAACCAAATTCATAAACATATATTAAACAACATTCAAGATTTTCTAAACAATACTCAATTAACCAACTATATCTCTTAAACATTCATAAACAACCAAAAATTAATATTACATTATATTAAAATAACAACTAACCTCTTCTTCGACGATTGGTTGAAAAATTGTTTTTTTCCCGGGAACAGCTTCAATTCGCCAAAAAAATCGAGCAAAAAACGAGAGGAGAAATGAAATGGGAAAATTTGTTTTTTTTAATTGCAGCTTCAATTTGCAATAAAATCGAGCAAAAAACGAGAGGAGAAAATGAAATGGGAGAGGAAATTGGGTTCGAATGATATTTATCAACATAAAAACGGATTTTCAAAATCCGTTTTACTCGTTTTTAAACGAAAAACGTATTTTCAAAATCCGTTTTACTCGTTTTTAAACGAAAAACGTATTTTCAAAATCCGTTTTAGTCAGTGGATGTATTATTATTATTAAATTCGACCGTTATCTTATGAAAAAAAAAAAATCAAAAGTAAAAACGGATTTTGAGAATCCGTTTTTCAATTAAAAATTTAATTAAGAAAACGGATTCTGAAAATCCGGCTGTTTTATACATTTCCACAATTTTTTTTTATTTTTTATTTTTTTCCACACATTTTTGTTTTTTTTTTAATTAAATAATGCACCCCACAATGAAAGCTCCAAAAATAAACAAAATGGAACTTTTTGTTTTTTGATACCTTTATTGTTATTAATATTTACATGCAAACAGACGTTGGAAAATCATTGGCCAATTTTATATGATTAATAGGTTTGACCAAGATATACTATTGATAAATTATTCTCTATAAGAATCTTTTTCTCTATAAAAGCCCAACAATTAAATTTTCGGTTATTCGATGATCAACTAACGAAATTTATCAAATATTAGTGATATATAGAACCTTAAGTTATTGAATTAATTAAAACAAAATTGATATACCAGTCACTTGAAAAGAAAGAAAAAAAATAAAAATAAATAAAGTTTAGTATTATGAACTTTCTCTTCCATCTCTCTGAACCCTCATCTAAGTGGGCCTGGCCCAAACAAGAATCATTTTAGCCTTTACTTGTCTTTAGTTTTATTTTACAGTTAAATAGCACAAAAGAAAAGGCCCAGCACTTGTCGGGTCACGTGATCATACTATTCCCATCCCATTTTGTGGAAACACAAGAAACATAGTAAAATTCAAACATATAAAAAATAAAATTTAATAAAAATCAAAAATCCAAAAACCAGCGATCGCCATTTTATTTGAGTTTTTATTTTATTTTATTTGTTCTGATCGGTGAGTAGCATGACGACGGCGTTCCCGGCGCTTATCCGCCGGCTGGCGCCCTACTTATCAGCTCGGGTCCATCGGAATTCCAGGTTTCTCAGCTCAACCGCCGCCGTCCCACAACCTCAGCTAGATTCAATTGAATCTCCATCTCTGCCGTCCGACGCCGTTCATATGACCGAGGGTTGTGTCCGAGTAATTTCATGCGCCTTTTTATTATTTTTTTTGTTGTCAATTCCACCTTGTGGACTAAATTTGCGTTGATAATTTCTCGAAGTTTTTACCGGTATATTCACTGTGGTATTGGATTCTAGACTTTCTAGGTGGTTCAAAGTATTTTTGATTGAACCTAGAAAAATGAAGAAAACGAATCAATTTCTTTATTTCACACACGGATGATCTTATGAAAATATCTGAGCAGTGTAAGATATATAAATGATTCTGTATTGATATTTGTGGAGATTGAGACATGGCTTAATTTTGTAACAGTTTTTCCTTCTCTATTATGGGGCCATTTGTTGTTGCATAATTGTGTTATTCAGCTATGATATTGCTTGTGTCAGATGGCCTAGAACATAAAAATCCATAATTTAGTAATTTACTAATGTTATGCAGCGAATGAAAGAGTTGCAAGCCGACGAGGGTGGTAAAAAATTGTTGCGTTTGAGTATTGAAGCTGGAGGTTGCTCGGGATTCCAGTATAATTTTTTGCTTGACGAGAAGACCAATTCTGATGATAGGTTGTTAGATTTCCGAACTTTTTTATTTTGCTTGGTTATATTGTTGGCCTCAAGTATCACACGCACATAATCAATGGTGTTTGTTGGGACTTAAGGGAAATTCGTTTATTTGTNAGGATTTTTGAGCAAGATGGAGTGAAATTGGTAGTTGATAATATCTCCTTTGACTTTGTTAAAGGCGCAACTGTTGATTATGTTGAGGAACTTATTCGTTCGGCTTTCCAGGTTAGTTTTCTTGAAATGGTTGTTTTTTTACGAAGTTGGTCTGCATCTCAATCCATGCAGGCCTGTGAGAGTTTCAGTTGCTTTATGTTTTCATTGCACAGCTGAAACAAGTTTGCTATCTGGTTATATTCATCCCACAGTACAGACCCTTCTTATATTTGCTGCCTACTTGTGTCTAACATCAGTATTGTTTGGCAAAATTGCCACCACTTTTTGTTAAATTTTGTGCATTTGAGTTTGTTAAGCAGTACAGCATAACTCTCTTACCCGCTTAGAATGCCACGTCAATTAGAGGATTCTGAACGCTGCTAATTGTTTGTTATTAGTCCTTAAATTGTGACTGCTATAAAGCATATGTGTAAAGATTTGATTTATTTGACGAGAAAGGATTCAAATAGTTGAGAGTTAAACATTAAAGGTGTATCCTTTTTTGTTTTCTCATTGGACCAGTCAGTTATCACTCTATGTCAAGGGACGCAAGATTAGAGGAAACAATGATCAAACTACCATTCCCGATATATATAAAAGTACACCCCATTGATATTGGCATTTCAAAAATTTTGTGCTCCACTTGGGATAGCCTAAAAACACGGTTCTGATGTGTAATTCATATGAAATGCTGTTCCTGTTTGCGATTATATACTCATGCAATTGTACTTTTCCCTATCTGCTACATCAAACTCAGATATTATTTTTTTTTCCCCTCAAATCCGAGTTTCTCACGGTTTGCTTCTTTTTGTGACCAACCTTAACCAAAAACCTCGATTATGATGCCTTTATGTAAATTAATATCTCAAAGTGTCAACTAGTACCTCACTAGAAACTGTTGGACACAAAATATCTTCCAAGTAACGAACTTGGTAAAAATTTCGAAACATTTGTTGTTGTTTAAAGGGTTAATGTTGAATGCAGGTGTCCACAAATCCGAGTGCCGTAGGTGGATGTAGCTGTAAAAGCTCTTTTATGGTGAAGTAGAAATGTACATATTTCCACACAGCCACGAAGATTGCTTACCGAGATTCATTTTGATGCTATTATTGTATCAAGATTTATCCCTAAAATTGAGGAGAGAGGGAGAGAGATAAGTCCGTTAACGATTTTCAGATTTTGTATGTTTGATTCTTTTGAATATTGTCTGCGTGCCCAGAAACTGGGAAAAATGCTTAGTGATGAAGGTTCTGGCTTCTGCTATTTCTGATGATCTGTAATATATGTAGAAATTTTGTATTTTGTATAAGTATTAGACCTATTTTGGATACTAAAATCTAATAATGAACATTTAACAGTGTTTTTCTTCTTATAGTCTCTGCCTAAAATCTTTCACCCAATTGTTGAAAAATATAAGCAATATAAATTATTGGGTAGCATTTATCAACTCCATAGGGCTGCTATCCCAAATGAAGAAACATTATGAAGCCACATTAGAGTTGTGTGCAACTCTGAACCATGAATAGCAGCATTCTGAATATTCTTTCTCAACTCTCATTAGAGTTGTGTGTAACTCTGAACCATGAATAGCTCTGAATATTCCAACATTCTCAACTCTTTAACACAAGGAAGTTATATATTTACTTTACTCAATAACAGCAATGTAATTAAATAATATCAATCAATCATTCTCAGCTCTCACACATATTATCAATTTTAATTCATTATTCATCTACTCATATATTTGTAACTACTTATTATTTCCAATAATCTCTCCTACTTTTATACATCAACTTTAATATATCACGTCAATTTTAACAATTACATTTTACTAATACAATCTAAAAATCAACTCAATTAACTTTAATCAAAATTAACTCACATTAACCAACAATTCAAATCAAAATCGATTTTTTTAACTAACAATTTTCTTTTGTTCTCTTTAGGTGGCACAATTTCAAGACAAACACAAAATGCAGGTAAGCAAAAGTTGCTACATGATTTCTGCACTCCCATCATGCCCACCAAACAAATTATTAAACCTCTATCCTTCTCAAACCTATGATTCACTAACAATGTAAAGCACAAATGCCTGTACACACACAATAACACATGAGAGAAATTAAGCTCTTGGATAACGAGAGCGCCCCTTTTTCCTCAAGAACTCAGGAATTTCAAAAGAATTGCCTTCCAGAAAAGACGAGGGCCGCCTGTTGAGACCAATGTTCGAATCTCCTTGCCCCAGCTGATTTTCCTGCATCATTTGCAAATAAGCTGCTCGATAAATTATTCTACTGAGCTTAAGAATAAAAAAGTTCAGTCATGCAAAGACACAGAAAGTATACCTGAAGGGTTCTCCCGTCACTTTCTTCTTGACGTTTAAAACCAGTTGCTATCAAAGTTATGCTAACCTGAATTATCAGACAAAAAATTATCAAAATTTAGGAAATTTATACAGAAAGTACAGACCTTAACAGACTTCCTTAGAGCTTAACGACATTCTTCATCTGTATTTCCAACGTATGCAACCGTTTATGTCTGTGGGGACCTCATTGTGAAAGAAAATAACTTTTAAAGGGCTAAATTGTGAATTTTGATGTTCCTGTAATTAGGACAGAAACCAAGAGATTGGGTTTGCAACAAAGGGATATTACATATTGGAGAGGATTTCGACTAAGGATAGCTTGAGTGGTCTTTTCAGCCGAGGAAAATGCAACTAAATGAAAAGGTCAACAAATGAACCTTTTTTGCTAGCTACATACGTATCTTATCAAAAAAATAATAATAATTTCAGTAGATAATTCATTATGCATCAAGTCTACCGTAGCATTATTTATTTTCTTTTTTTCAAGATTTTCTCTCGTCCCCAATCACGTTGAAATGCAGATAGCTCAAGGCAGCTGACAAACAATAATTAACAATGTTTTGGAAATTTCTCGAAGAGATGAACTTACTTAACCACTTAACAATGGATCGACCACAGCACCAAATATTAAGTTGGCAGTTGGGTCCACTAGGTCATATATGACCTCTGCTGCAGCATTAACCTGTTAATTAATTTCACATTAAAACCAGTTAAAGCATACTTTCCTAAAAAATCATTTCTTTGAAGCTCCATAAAATCATTTAAGCCAAAGGAAAGGAGAACACAAGCCAAATGACCAAGTATACTGAAATTCAAAGATTTAAATCGAACCAGAAACGAACAGCATGTTAATAACGTCACAACCATGATGAATCAGGGAAGCAGGATTTGGCTATTGTTGGAGATTGAGATTGACTAATTTATTTTTTTTTTTAATTTAAATTACCACTTAGGAACTTATTTTGCTTGTTAAGATCATAAAATAGGAGCCACAATAGAGAGAAAGAAAAAAGGAAAATACAAGAACAAATTGTACAAAGAGAGAAAACCACCTCAAACAACGTTAGATCACTGCCACCAGTTATATTCCATACAATTCCAGTGGCTCTCTCTATACCGATATCCAGTAAAGGAGACTGAATGGCATTTAATGCCGCATCTCGAGCTCTCGTTTTTCCTGCATTGTAGCAATTATGAAAGATGAAAATATCTAGCCAAAACTCAAAAGTACTATGTAGATGAATGGTCATTACTCATTACTATCGATGTGTAGTTGCACAAGCAAACAAATTTTTTAAAATTTGAACTATAGTAGTAAATGAAGATAAGAACTCTCTTCTAAATTTAATAGCCAATAAAATGAAACGAGAAGGCATATAACACTAAACATGTGTTGACAAGCAAAAGAGAATTAATGGCAATTGTTTGTGGCATCTAATGGACTAACATGAAATGACTTCTTGACAAGTACCTGTAGCAGTTCCAATTCCCATTAACGAGGAACCGGCATTAGCCATAATTGCTCTGACATCAGCAAAATCCACATTTACTAGCCCCGGGATCTGGAAAAATAAATATACCAAAACCTTGGTTGATTAAGAACAATAGAATAGATTTCACGATTACATATCAAAGCACATAACAATAGTTCATATTGTTATATGCAGGTCTGCATATGCTCATTACAGGTAATCTGGAATAAATTATAAGCATCAACTTCAAATATCTGGAATAAATCTGAAAATCTTGCTAACAATAGTTCACATAACGATTTTCAAATACTTCCATCAATATAACTTGAAATAATATTGAAAATCTTTAGCGACTACTTGTAGAACATCAAATAAACCATAAAAGTGCACAGATTCACTACCAAACCAAACCAACCATGCGAAAAACACATAATTCACAATCTTAAGTCGAAACTTTTTCAGGCATGGAGCTCGATCAGTCATACCGTGATTATGTCAGAAATACCACGAACTCCTTGCCGAAGAATATCATCTGCCAGATTAAATGCTTCTGTTACTGGAGTAGAAGGAGAGACTGCAGTCAGCAATTTGTCATTTGGAATGACGATTAACGTGTCGACATTTTCTCTCAAAGCTGCTATTCCTTCTTGGGCTTGAACAGCTCTTCTTCGTCCCTCAAACGAGAATGGAGTGGTAACTATACCAACAGTTAAAATACCCATCGACTTTGCAACTCCGGCTATTACAGGAGCTGCACCGGTGCCCGTTCCTCCACCCATTCCAGCCTGCAAGTTTTCACCGGATAAAATAGTGGAACAAATAGATAATAAATAAATAAATAAATAAAACAGAGAAAGTAACCAATATAATGCGCATGGATTACTATTATTGTCCCGAAAGATACATAACACTATTTCCGATGGGAAGTTTTGATCAAAATGGACATTAAATGCTTTTATGATTGATTGCTCATTTGACATCCCAAAGAAGGTAAAAAGTAAGAGTCGGGCGGCATTATGATCAAACTCTGAGAACGGTTCGATATTCATAAAAACTAAGGTTAATAAGCAAGAAACGTAATGTTAACCAACCGAGTATTCACTTGTCTAGATGATACGCTATTTTTCAATCGGGCAAGACAAAATATCAGCAAATTTTTACCAACAAAAGGTTTTGAGCTGCCCCAACTATGCAGAATAAAAAAAAATTAATAAAAAAAATCTCAGCTGATCTGTTAAACTACAAAGTCCACAGCCACATGCATAGTAAATACATAATCATCAAAACTGATTTTGCCGAGATTGCAGAGTGATTGACTTGTGATAGTCTATTAGTATCCAATTCATAGATCACCATCTGATTATCCCAAAAATAGTAACAATTCACCACGTACATATCAAGACACTTCAAACACGTTGAAGGCTACTAATCACATCAAATGACCACGACCTTCACAAAACCCAAATACTGAAAAAAATAAAAAAATAAAATAAACTTACAGTCACAAAGACCATATCTGCCCCAAAAACCGCATCTCCTATTGCCTCCTTGCTCTCATTAGCCGCATTCATCCCAATATCCGGATTCCCACCTGCCCCAAGCCCTCTCGTCAGCTCCTCTCCAATCTGCAACCTGTGTTCCGGAAAAACAGGCGACATTTTCATGGCCTGAACATCCGTGTTCAATATCCAAAACTCGACCCCTTTCATGGCACTCTCTATCATGCGGTTCACCGCATTCGATCCACCCCCTCCTACACCAACAACCTTAATCTTGGCCTCATTGTAGTTATTCACACGGGTCAAGTCTTTCAAGCTCTCGGAAAAAGAGTCGCTTGGGTTTATCATGGTGGAGTTGTTTTCGCCCCTCAGCAGAGAGACTTCAGGGTGAAGGTTTAGAAAAGGGTCCTTGTTTTGGAACTGGTTTACACTGTGGGAATTTGTCGAGCACTTGAAAGTTGGGAATTGATTCGGACTGCATTTTTGGGCTATGACTGGGAATGGGTTTTTTTTTTCGGCCGTTTTGAAAGGGAGGACTCGGGAATTGAGTACGGTTAACATACTCGCGGGGCTTCGGGTGTGTGAAGGAGTGAAATAAGGGGATTTGCACAAGGCCATTGATGAAAAAATCCTATCTTTTGGGTTGCTTTTTCCTTATTACAGCAACTTTGGTGTGCTAAAACCTTGTTCTCAGTGTCCCACTTTTTAGATTCTTTTTTTTTTCACAGTACCTATGAATTAACAAATAATCACAAGCCGTACCAAGAAGGAAAAGAAAAAAGGAAAAGAAAATATGATAGGAGGGATTATATGAATTTATGAGCAGTCGCAAACAAGAACACACACGACATATGGCAACATGATTTCTAAATGAAAAAAATCTTCGAAGGTGTCAATACATGAAAAGTTGCGAGTGGAAAAAACATATCCAAAAAGGAGAACTGAAATTTACCATTAAACGTAAGCAGCTCTCAAGTATCAACTAAATCCCATGAAATCGAAGCTAAAGAGAGTAGAAATTTACCTGAAAACCGCAGCCAAATCGATTTCTCGCCTGCAAAAAAAGGGTTTCNNNNATTTTTTTTTTTTCACTCTTTTCCTCACTTGTAGACTGGCAGCTAAAATCAAAGCTGCATTAGCATTGAGAGTAAAAATGTAGCTGCCAAATTCTTGCTCGAAAGCGAAGCTAGAGTAGGATTTGGTAGTGTCTGCCGAACATTAATTAGAAAATGAGAGGAAAAACGATATAATCTCGTACTTGCGTTCACTGATAGACCCAAGAAACAGCAATTAAATGAGTATATCCGAATAAAAATACATTTAAATACTCAAAAATATTCCTATCTTTGCGAAAAAAATACTGAATAATATCATACATTTATTTTAATTTTTTAAAATATATATATATATATATATAAATGTGTATTTATTTAAAATGCAGTATTGTTGAATATTTTATGTTTTAAAATCGTATTACAATTTGTTTTTTATTCTGTTAAATGATTGCTACGTGTATACTTGTAATGTAATTTTGATACATGGTACTCATCAAACAGAGCGAAAAATGAATTATAACATGATTTTGAACAAAAAAAATTATTTCAATTTTCATCTGCCTAACATTAGTTTACCCGATTTTTGGGAAATTATTTTCTGTTATTGATTATTTTTAGGTTGAATTATAAAGTTTTTCTTGAGCTAGTAAGTTTTATCCATTGAATTATACACACTCAACGGTTAAAAGTCATCTACACGGTAGGATGATTTTTTACTCGTTGAAATAAGGTGATACAAGATTTGATATAATTACTTAATTAGTACTGATACAAAAATGATTTTTTTATGCTGAAAATATATAATATTCTCTATATGTTTGATTGTTTGTATAAAATAAGGATTATTCAATGAATTGATTAATAAATTTCATTGTGTAAATAATATTGGCTAATTATGTATATAAAGTGATGTACATTGAGAATCGCTATTTATTTAGTAAATTCATACCATAATGATTGTGCTTGGATATAAGTCGTGATTGGATCTTTTTCATCACAACTCAAGTTTAATTAACTCTATCACACACTATTTTAAATATTATCAATACAATTAAATAATATCAATGGAACATTCTTACACATCACATTAACTTTAATTCATTATTCATATCTTTAATTCATTATTCATATTATTCATCAACTCACGTAATTTTAACTGTCAGTCACTTTCAATCACTTATCTTCTATTTTTATATCAAATCAACTTTATTCATTTTATTTTAAATATGTTTTTTAATACAAATTCAAAATTCTACTCCGACGTAACTCAACAATTTTTTTCAAAACTAACTAGGTGTTGATGAACGTTTTTTTTATCAACGATTAATTAAAGATTAAATTATGTTTTCTTTGATTGAATTTATGGGTGAATCTTTGGTTAATGTTGGGTTATCATGGGTCTAAACTATCATCATCAAAACAAGAAGAGAAATTCAAGATAATTCGCAATGCAGACAAACGTGATTTGTTCAAATTGATTACTAAGTTAACACACATATATCTACAATATCTTTTAAAAAAGTTACCATTAGATTGCACGAAACATGTAGAAAAAATGTCAAAATGGAGTGCATGTTGGACAAAATTGAAAATACCCAAAACAATAATTAAAATCAAGAAAAGTATATGTTAACTAAGTGTCGACTATATATAGTACTTATGGCTACAGAATATGTAAATTAAAAACACCAAAAAAAAAATAAAAAAAATTATGTCAACTGAAATAAATAAAATCTCATTTTTTGACGGACTTCGATCCTCTGTTTTTCGACTTGCCGGAGGAATTTCCGTCCACAGAGAGCCTCCGCTGGAGCTCGTGTAGAAGGGTCTGATTTTCTTGGTTCAAAAGCTCAGCTTTTTTCCTTAGCTTTTCATTTTCTCGCAGCATGTGGCAGTTTTCCATGTATAGCCTCGAGTTCATTTCTTCCATGTTTTCCTTTTTCTGCTACTTAATTTTTCTGAAAAGAAAAAAAAAAAAAAAGTTTTGACAATTGGATCATGTAAATAAATTAAATAGGATAGCAAACAAAAGTTAACAACTTTGATTTCAAAAAATGAAACAAATGAAATAAGCAAATAGTTAACATAATTTAAATGTTAATTAAGTTACCTTAATTTCTTCCACACAAGAACAAGAACTGTTGGGAACAAGTGACTAGTGAGTAATTGAGCTAGGCAGACTGGCAGAGGGATATATATAGTGCAAAAAAGGTCAACTTGATACCAAGCAATATTTTATTAAGATTATAATAATTAATTAATTAGATGAAATTAGAAATTGGATTAGGGTGTGGTGAGGGAATGTGACATAAAAGTAATAAATGTAATTTATAATAACAATTAAAATATTCTTTTAACAGTTTTAGGAGTTGGTCATGAAGATATACTTAAACAGTTTTTTATTTTACACGCTTTGAATTTACCAACTGGTTTATCGAATTATATGTCCGAAATTTTTTGAATTGTTAAATTTGATAATATTATTATAAGAATAATTAATAATTATATTGGTCAAGTATTTGTTTGGCAACTCAATTTTCAAATCAATCTTATAGTGGAGTATAACTTTTCTATAAGCTTTATAAACTATGTAACCTTATGATTTGAACTCAAATGGATGTCTTTGTTTCAGTAACTAATTAACAACTAAATAGATATAAATCGAAATAATAAATACGAAATAACTTGCATAATGTGTTTATTATGTAAATTGTAAACCACGTGACATAAAAACAACCACAGTTTTTATGTACTTGGTTGGTTTTGATATGACTCGTCACTAATTCGAAATTATCTATGTAGTGATTTTCATTTTGAACAAGTGTCGAAATCCAATTGTACCCACACATTTATTCTTCATCTTGGTAAATAATCATTCGTGTGTAAGCATAGAAAGCGGCTTCAATGGGGCAAAAGTTCTAATTTTTGTTCTTTCCATTTTACCATGATTGCATTTTTTGCTGTAAAAATGATGTCTTGTCAAGGGGATGATGGCAAGTGGCAGGGGTATTCAATGTGAAGTTAGATGAAAAACCACAAGTACCGCAAAAAAC